GAGAGAGGGAGAGAGGGAGAGGGAGGGAAAGGAGGGAGAGAGGGAGGGAGCCCGGAGGGAGGGAGAGGGAGGGAGCCTGAGGGAGAGGGAGGGAGAGAGGGAGGCTTCCGGACTGAACCGGCCCCTTGTCCTTCAGACTTGAAAAACTTGCATACAAGCTGCCGCTTCACATGGTGGTTGTGGGTGCTTGCCAGCGGGACGTTGATTCCAGAAGCATCTCTGTCGCTGATGCGCATGGAGTTGAAGCGTCGAAGGCCCTCCTTGGCGACTGAAACAAAATTTAAACTAGAAGCTGGCTTGCCTTGCAAGGTCCGACCTAAGTTAGCCGTGTCCCCTGATCCAGTCCTTGAACGGCGCAGACTGCTGCACGTACTCCTGTCCAGTGGCGTCCTGCAAGTGATTCTGTGCCGAACAGGGTAGCGTTACTGAGATGCGTGCATGCAGTTGCCGTGCCAATATGGACAACGTCACTTGCCAGCAGTCCGTGAAGACGACGCGGGTGACGAGAGTGTCTTCCACATCGTCGTGCATCACACTCATGCTGGAAGAGCAGCCCATGGTGCCTCGCGAAAAAACAAGATTTGCCCCCACAGACGGAATATACTAAATTACTAGCAACCGTTGGCCATTCCAGCCCACCTGTGTCAGGTGCGGGAAGGAAAAGACGGAAAGGCAACAAAGTTGGGCCACAAAGGCTCTTGGCTGTATGACTGCCGCATGCCATTGTATGAATGCAGTGGCATCACCACGCCTCTGCGATAGACAGCTTTCACAAAACATTCACAGACATGCTCTGCTCCTCCCTACAATACTAGCGGCGGCAGCAGTAGCAGCTGTAGCGCAGTAGAAGTAGTAGCAGCAGCAGGAGGCGGAGCAGTAATTGTCGTTGTCGTCACACGAGCCGACCCACCCCGCTCTAATTACCGACCACGCTTGCCGCGGTGTGCACTAAGCGGTCGTTCTTTCGCGCCTCGCCCCCAGACCCCCCACCCCCACCCATAGATGCTTGCATTCGCCACTGGTGGCTTCTGAATCCTACACGAAGAAGCTGCTGAAGTAAAAAGGCTAGGTTAGGATAGTGGCAAGCCACTGTAAATTTACGGCGTAACACGAAGGCGTTGCGATCAATGTGCACTGCACATCTAGCAGTAGAAAAAGCAGTAGTAGTCGCAGTAGTAGCAGTAGGACTTGAAGTCGCAGTAGCAGTAGCAGTAGTGGTAGTGCTGAGCCGCTATACCAGTAGTGGTGGTAGTAGTAGGAGTAGTAGTAGGAG